GAGTATCTGGGATTCCAGGTGCATGTCACCACACCAGGTTAATTTTTATATATTTTTGGTAGAAAAGGGGCTTAAGGTGTTGGTCAGGCTGGTCTCAAACTCCTGACCTCACCATCCACCCACTTAGGCCTCTCAAAGTGTTGGGATTACAGGCATGAACCATTGTGCCCAGCCTAGTTTTTTGTTTTGTTTTTGACATGAAGTCTTGCTCTTGTTGCCCAGGCTGGAGAGCAATGGCACAATCTCAGCTCACTGCAACCTCCGAATCCTGGGCTCAAGCGATTTTCCTGCCTCAGCCTCCTGAGTATCTGAGATTACAGGTGCCTGCCACCATGCCTGGCTAATTTTTGTATTTTTAGTAGAGATAGCGCTCAACCGCGATGACCAAGCTGGTCTCAAACTCCTAACCTCAGGCCATCTGTCCACCTCAGCCTTCCAAAGTGCTGGGGTTACAGGCATAAGCCACCATACCCAGCCTCACATATATGTTTTTAAAAGCTCTTAACTGTATAACTCCATCAAGACAGTTGCAGGTGGGCAAAAACTAAAACTAAATAAATAAAACTCTTAATTCTTGGTATTATTTATTTATTGGCTTATTTCTTGGAGACAGGGCCTCACTCTGTCACCTAGGGTGGAGTGCAGTGGCCCAATCTCTGCTCACTGCAATCTCGCCTTCCTGGGTTCCAGTGATGATCCTGCCTCAGCCTCCAGAGTAACTGGGATTACTGGCCCATAGCACCACGCTCAGCTAATTTTTGTATTTTTTTTTTTTTTTTTTTAGTACAGACCAGGTTTCACCATGTTAGCCAGGCTAGTCTGGACCTCCTGACCTCAAGTGTTAGGCCCACCTCAGCCTCCCAAAGTGCTGGGGTTACAGGCATAAGCCACCACCCCAGGCCCATTCCTGCTATTATATACATTGTATTTTTTTCTTGTCAGACAATTAGGAAATTTACATTTGCAATTGATATGTAGCTTGGTTTGCAGTATAGCTTTATGCTGCTCTTTATCAGGGAGTAGATTTCTCAAGTGTTGCTCAGAGACAATTGGCAACCCTGGCTTAGAGTGCCTATGGGGTTGGTGCCAGATGGGCTGGGAGTAGGCATTGTCTGAATTAGATATTGGAGCTGATGACCCTTCATCCTCAGGCACCTTCTATTCAAATTACCCTAGTTAGTCGGAAAGGGACAACTGCTATGGAATCTGCATCTTTTCGTACAGCCCAGGGCCCTGAAAAGAGTCATTGTTTAGTGAATGTTTACTGTCTGGCTGAGATTCCTGCAAAACCTAACTCTGCTACAATGTTCTCAGGTGGATGCAGATGATGACTTTAAAGTTCCTGAAGAGTTCACAAACTATTCACTTGTGCTACAGATAATTTTAAGAATTCAGAGCTGGTCAGGGTGGCTCACACCTGCAATTCTAGCATTTGGGGAGATACAAGCAGGAAGACCATTTGAGTCCAGGAGTTTGAGACCAGCCTGGGCAACACAGGGAGACACCATCTGTACACACAAAAAAATTAGCCAGGTGTGGTGATATTATCTGTAGTCCCAGCTACTCAGGAAGCTAAGGTGCGAAGATCACTTGAACCTGGAAGGTGGAGGTTACAGTGAGCCGTGACTGTGCCACTGCACTCCGTCTGGGCAAAAGAGGAAGATCCTATTTCAAAAACAAATAAACCATTGTATCTGTGTGTTGCTGTCCAATTCCAATGTTTGAATTCAGGACTCTTTTCATCAAATCTTGTATTTACACCATCCAAAAAGAATTTATTTGATGGAATGAAACTACTGTGAATTCCCCGTGGTTCTAGGATACAGCACCTTTTAACACATGTGTTTGTCCTGTGCACCCTGGTCTCTGTTCAATAACAACTCATCACTTAAGCTCTAGGATCTGAGAAAAGGAGATAGTGTGAGCAGCTCTGATAGAGGATGAGCAAAAAGAAGTCAGAAATCTGAACAGGATTAATCCAGGCTCTGACCTTTCCAGAGCCTTCCCCCAGCTCTCCCCTGCTCCCCTCGTCCTGTGGTGTCTCCTGCTGCCCCCCATCCCTGGGTGACAGGGGTGCTGTGCAGAGGAAATTCAGTCATTCCCAAGTTTATTCTGTTTCACTGCAGTCCATTTTCCACAGAAACGGAGTTTCTGTCTCACTGAGTGACTTCCATGTGCTCATGTAGCATCAATGGCCTTTTCTGTCACAATCATTTTTTGGTTATGCATTTAGTAGCATTCCCACAAGAAGAGTTGGAAAGATTCCTCTGATTATGAAAATTATCTGGCTGGGAGCTCTGGCTCACTCATGTAATCCCAGCACTTCGGGAGGCAGAGGCAGGCAAACCATGAAGTCAGGAGATTGAGACAATCCTCACCAATATGGTGAAACCCAGTAGCAACTAAAATACAAAATAAAAATTAGCTGGGCATGGTGGCACTCTCCCATAGTCCCAGCTACTCAGGAGGTTAAGGCAGGGAAATTGCTTGCACATGGGAGGTTGCAGTGAGTGGAGATGGTGGCACGGGACTCCAGCCTCATGATAGAGCAAGACTGTCTCAAAAATAAACAAACAAACAAATAAATAAATAAATATCTTAGGCCAGATGTGGTGGCTCACGCCTGTAATCCCAACGTTTTGGGAGGCCTAGGCAGGTGGATCATTTGAAGCTAGGAGTTCAAGACAAGTCTGGCCGACATGATGAAACCTCTTTCCTACTAAAAATACAAAAATTAGCCAGGTGTGGTGACACACATTTGTAATTCCAGCTCCTTGGGAGATTGAATTACAGGAACCTGGGTGGCAGAGGTTGCAGTGAGCTGAGATGGCCCCCACTGCACTCCAGCCTTGGTGAGTGAATGAGATTCTGTTTCAGGAAAAACAAAAACAAAAATAAGAAGAAATAAAAGTAATCTTAGTTTTAGAAGATTTGGAAAATTCAAGGAAAGCAGATGGAAGAAAATAAAGTTTTCTGTTAGTTCATGTCTGAGAGGAATTGTTGTGATTTTGTAGTAGACTCCTGTTGGATTTCTATTTAGTCATATGTAACAAGGCATACTTTACTAAGATGTGAATGTACTGTACATTTTGTTCTAATCTTCCTTTTCACCTTAATGTATTAACAGTATTTTAGCATATCATTCATTTTTTTCTACCATGTTTTGTTATTTTATTCTTATTCTTATTTTTTGAGACAGGATCTTACTCTGTCACCCAGGCTGGAGTGCAATGGCATAATCATAGCTAACTGCAGCCTCCAGCTTCTGGACTCAAATCATCCTCCCACTTCAGCCTCCCAAGCAGATGGGACCACAGGTCCATAATGCCATGATCAGCTAATTTATTTAAAATTGTTTTATAGAGGGAGGAGCTCCCTATGTCACTTAGGCAGGTCTCAAACTCTTGGGTTCACACAATTCTTCCACTGTGGCCTCCCAAAGTGCTGGGGTTACAGATGTGAGTCACTGTGTCTGGCCTTGTACCATGTTTTTAGAAGCTGTATATATTTATTTTATAAGTTAGGGAATTGTAGATGTTTAGTTATTGAAGAAGTGAGTTAATGCGGAAAATAATAAAATGTGGTCTATTTCTAAACACTTTATTTTAAATTTAAACATCAGTGTGTGTGTGTGTGTGTGTGTGTGTGTGTGTGTGTATATAATTATTTTTTTTGAGATGGAGTTTCACTCTGTCACCCAGGCTAGAGTGCAGTGGTGCAATCTCAGCTCATTGCAACCTTCACCTCACAGGTTCAAGTGATTCTCCTCCCTCAGCCTTCTGAGTAGTGGGACTACAGGTGCCTGCCACCATGCCCAGCTAATTTTTCAGTTTTAGTAGAGATGGAGTTTCACCATATTGGCCAGGCTGGTCTCAAACTCTTGACCTAGTGATCTGCCCACCTCAGCCTCCCAGAGTGCTGGGATTACAGGAGTGAGCTACTGTGCCTGGCCCTAAACAACAGCATATTCACTTTGCAATTTTTTTTTTCTTTTTGAGATAGAGTCTTAGTGTGTCATTCAGGCTGGAGTGCATGAAGTGCAGTGGCGGAGTATCGGGTGAATGCATCATCAACCTCGTGGGCTGGAATGATCCTCCTATCTTAAGTTTCCCTACTAGATGAGACTACAGATGTGAGCCACATTACCCTGTCTCACTTTGGAATTTTTGGCTACTGGTGTGAAGCCCATTTTTGGAGAGAGAGTCCACTTATTCCAATGTTTGTCTGAACCATCCCTGTAATATCCAGTTTTGATTTCTATAGAATGGATGAATAAAGACAGAACAAAAAACCCTTTTTTTTTGATATGGAGTTTTGCTGTTGTTGCCCAGGCTGGAGTGCAATGGTGAGAGGTCTCCACTCACTGCACAACCTCTACCTCCTGGGTTCAAGGTATTTTCCTGCATCAGCCTCCTGATTAGCTGGGATAACAGATGAACACCACCATGTCTGGCTAATTTTTGTGTTTTTAGTAGAAATGCAGTTTCACACTGTTGGCCATGCTGGTCTCAGACTCTTGACCTTAGGTTATCTGCCTCCCTTGGCTTTCCAATGTACTGAGATTAGTGGTGCGAGCCACAGCACCTGGCTCAGAATGTAAAAGAACTTTAAAGACACTTAATACAACCTCCTAGATCAGGTGTAAATGTTTCCAGGCTAGGCCAGGTGTGGTGGCTCATATCTGTAATCCCAACACTTTGAGAGGCTGACAGGAGGATCACTTGAGGTGAGGAGTTGGACACCAGCCTGATCAACAAAGCAAGATCACCATCTTTATTTTTAAAGAAAGAATAATTTCCAGCCCTTTTTTTTTTTTTTTTTTGATATAGAGTCTTGCTCTGTCTCCCAGGCTGGAGTGCAGTGGCGTGATCTCAGCTCACTGCAACTTCTGCCTCTAGGTTCAAGCAAGTCTCCTCACTCAGCCTCCCAAGTAATTGGAATTACAGGCATGTATTACCACACCTGGCCAATTTATTTATTTATTTATTTTTAATTTTTAGCAGGGGAAAGCACAAATGCAGCCCCCCTCTACCACAAATTTTGCAGTCCAGTTTCCCACATTTGGAGAAATCACAGGGGCCAGCACATCCACAGTGCAATGGATGACCCTCAACCTGGAAAAACCACCTTCATGATCATGGTATCTCCCCTACCAGGTAATTTTTGTGTTTTTACTAGAGATGGGGTTTCACCATGTTGCCCAGGCTGGTCTCAAATTCCTGACATCAGCTTAACCACCCACCTGGGCTTCCCAAAGTGCTGGGATTACAGGCACAAGCCACCTGACCCACTCTCACATATATCTGTTTTTCAAAGCTCTTCACTCTTGGTATTATTTATTAATTTATTTATTGGAGATAGGGTGTCACTCTGTGGCCAGGCTGGAATGCTGTGGCACAATCACAGCCTACTGCAAACTCCACTTTCTGGGTTCAAGTGACTTTAGGGCCTCAGCCTCCTGAGTAACTGGAATTACAAGGCGCACTTGGCTAATTTTTGTAGTTTTTTTTTTTTGGAGATGGAGTTTCGCTGGTTACCCAGGCTGGAGTGCAATGGCGCGATCTCGGCTCACCGCAACCTCCGCCTCCTGGGTTCAGGCAATTCTCCTGCCTCAGCCTCCTGAGCAGCTGGGATCACAGGCATGTGCCACCGTGCCCAGCTAATTTTTTGTATTTTTAATAGAGACGGGGTTTCACCACGTTGACCAGAATGGTCTCGATCTCTTGACCTCATGATCCACACGTCTCGGCCTCCCAAAGTGCTGCGATTACAGGCTTGAGCCACCGCGCCCGGCCTTTTGTAGTTTTTTTTAAGTAAAGACCATATTTCACCATGTTAGCCAGGCTGGCCTCAACCTCCTGATCTCAAGTGATCCACCCATCTTGGCCTCCCAAAGTCCTGGGGCTACAGGCATCAGTCACCCTGCCCAACCCCTTCCTACTATTATTTAAATTGTATTTTTTGTTGTCAAACAATTGACATTTGGAATTGATATTTAGCTTTACTTTTAGTGTAGCTTTCTGCTGTTCTTTACCAGGGATTATTTTTCTGAAGTTTTTCTCAGAGAGAATTGGCAATAATAGCTTACAGTTCCAATGGGGTTGGTGCCAGATGGCCTGGGGATGGGTATTGTCTGAATCAGATACTGGAATTGATGACCCCTCACCCCCAGGCACCTTCTTTTCAAATGATGATAGTTAATGGGATATTGACAACTACTAAGGAATCTATATCTTTGTATACAGCATGGGGCCCTGAAAAGAGTCATTGTTTAGTGAATATTTACTGGCTGGCTGAGATTCCTACAAAAGCCTAACTCTGTTACAATGTTCTCAGGTGCATGCTGATTATGACTTTAAAGGTCGTGTACAGTTCACAAACTCTATTCACATGTGCTACAGATAGTTTTAAGAATTCACAGCTAGGCTTAGTGGCTCACACCTGCAATTCCAGCATTTCGGGAGACCCAAGCAGGAATATGTTTGAGTCCTGGAGCTCCAGACCAGCCTGGGCAACATAGGGAGACTTCATCTTCACACACACACACAAAAATTAGCCAGGTGTGGTGACAGCGCTTATAGTCCCAGCTACTCACGAAGCTAAGGTGGGAGGATCACTTCAACCTGGGAGGTCAACGTTGCAGTGAGTTCCGATTATGTCACTGCACTCCAGTCTGGGCAACAGAGGGACAACCTATGGCAAAAAGTAAATAAAATGTTGTATCTCTGTCTTCCTATCAAAATGTAAACTTAGGGCTCTTTCCATCAAATCCTGTATTTACACCATCCAAAAAGAATTTATGTGATAGAATGAAACCACTGTGAGTCCCCTGTGGTTCTATGATACAGCACCTTTTAACACAGGTGCTTGTCCTGTGCACCCTGGTTTCTGGTTCAATAACAACTCATCACTTAAGCCCGAGGGTCTGAGGAAAGGACAGTGTGAGCAGCTCTGATAAAGGATAAGCAGAAAAAAGTCAGAAATCTGAACAGGATCAACCCAGGCTCTGACTTTCCAGAGCTTTCCCCAGCTCTACCCTGCCCCCTCCTCCCTGGGGTGCCTCCTGTTGTCCCCCCACTCTCAGGTGACGGGGGTGCTGTGCAATCCCCTGTGGCTTTTCCTGCAGAGGAAATTCAGTCATTCCCAGGTTTATTCTGGGTCACTGCAGTCCTTTCTCCACAGAAACTGAGTTTCTGTCTCACTGAGCGACCTCCAAGTGCTCATGTAGCACCAGAGGCCTTTTCTGTCACAATAATGTTTTTGATTATCAATTTAGTAGCATTTCCACATGAAAAGTTGAAAAGACTAACAGAAACTTAAGTAATATTGCTTCTGATTATAAAAGTAATCTTAGGCCAGACGCAGTGGCTCACGCCTGTAATTCTAACACTTTGGGGAGCTGAGGCCGCAAATTACTTGAGACCAGAAGTTCAAGACCAGCCTGGCCAACATGGTGAAGCTTCATCTCTACTAAAATTACAGAAATTAGCCATGGGTAGTGGCGCATGCCTGTAATCCCAGCAGGAGAATCACTTGAATCTGGGAGGAAGTGATTGCGGTGAGCTGAGATCTCACCACTCCACTCCAGCCTGGGTGACAGTGAGTGAGACTTTTTTTTTTTTTAAAAGGAAGAAATAAAAGTAATCTTGGTTTTAGAAGATTTGGAAAATCCAAAGAAAGCAGAAGGAAGAAAATAAAATTATCTGTTAGTTCATGTCTGGGAGGAATTGTTGGGATTTTGTAGTAGACTCCTCTTGGATTTCTATTTAAGTCATATGTATCAAAGGCATACTTTACTAAGATGTGAATGTACTGCAAATTTTATTCTAACCTGCCTTTTCAGTTAATTGCATTATCAGTATTTTAGCATATCAGTCATTTTTTTCTACTGTGCTTTATTTTTTATTCATCTTTTTAAATTTTTTTATCTTTAATTTTATTTATTTACTTAATTATTATACTTTAAGTTCAGGGGTACATTTGAGATGGAGTCTTGCTCTGTTGCCCATGCTGCAAGGCACTGGGCACAATCTAGGCTCACAGCAACCTCTGTCTCTCAGGTTCAAGCCATTCTTCTGCCTCAGCCTCCGGAGTAGCTGGACTGCAGGCACCCACCGTTACGCCCAGCTAATTGTTATGTTTTTAATAGAGATGTGGTTTCACCATGTTAGCCAAGCTGGTCTTGAACTCCTGACCTCAGGTGATTTGCTTGCCTTGGCCTCCCAGAGTGCTGGGATTATAGCTGTGAGTCACTGTGCCCAGCCTCATAACTCACTGCAGCCTCAAGTTCCTGGGTTCAAATGATTCTCCCACTTCAGCCTCCCAATTAGCTGGGACCACAGGTGCATGCTGCCATAATCAGCTAATTTTCTATCTTTTTTTTTTTTTTTTTTTTTGAGACAGAGTTTCACTCTTGTTACCCAGGCTGGAGTGCAATGGCGCCATCTCGGCTCACCGCAACCACCGCCTCCTGGGTTCAAGCAATTCTCCTGCCTCAGCCTCCTGAGTAGCTGGGACTACAGGTGCACGCCACCATGCCCAGCTATTTTTGTATTTTTAGTAGAGACGGGCTTTCACCTTGTTGACCAGGATGGTCTCGATCTCTTGACCTAGTGATCCACCCTCCTCGGCCTCCCAAAGTGCTGGGATTATAGATGTGAGCCACTGCGCCCAGCCGATCAGCTAATTTTCTTAAAATTGTTTTGTAGAGACAGGATCTTCCTATGTTGCCTAGGCTGGTCTCGAATTCTTGGGTTCATGTAATCCTGCCACCATGGCCTCCCAAAGTGTTGGAATTACAGGTGTGAGCCAACATCCTGGCCTTGCACTATGTTTTTAGAAGCTGTATATATTTATTTTATATGCTAGGGAACAGTAGATGTTTAGTTATTGAAGAAGTGTGTTAATGAGGAAAATAATAAAATATATGTATAAACACTTTATTTTAAATTTAAACAACAGTGTATTTATTCACTTTTTGATCTTTTGTTTATTTTTTTGAGATAGAGTCTCACTCTGTCACTCAGGCTGGAGTGCATGAAGTGCAGTGGTGCAGTTTCGCGTGAATGCATCCTCAATCTCCTGGGCTGAAATAATCCCCCCATCTTAGCCTCCTTCCTAGATGGGACTACAAGTACATTTTTTTTTTTTTTGGTATATTTTATAGAGACGAGGTTTTGCCATGTTGCCCTGGCTGGTCTCGAATTCCTGGACTCAAGTGATCCACCCTCCTCAGCCTCCAAAAGTGCCAGAATAATAGGTGTGAGCCACCTCACCCTGTCTCACTTTGCAATCTTTTGGCTACAGGCATAAAGCCTATTCTTGGAGAGAGGGTCCACTTATTCCATTTTCTTGTCTAAACCATTCCTGTAATATTCAGTTTTGATTTCTATGGAATGGATGAATAAAGGCAGAATGTGAAAGACATTTTTTTTTTGAGATGCAGTTTTGCTCTTGTTGCCCAGGCTGGAGTGCAATGGAGAGAGATCTAGACTCATTGCACAACCTCTACCTTCTGGGTTCAAGTGATTCTCCAGCCTCAGCCTCCTGAGTAGCTGGGATTACAAACACACACCACCATGCCTGGCTAATTTTTGTGTTTTTAGTAGAGACAAGGGTTTTATAATATTGGTTAGACTGGTCTCAAACACTCGACCTTGGGTGTTCTGCCTCCCTCGGCTTCCTAAAGTGCTGGGGTTACTGGCATGAGCCATGGCACCTGGCTCAGAATGTAAAAGAACTTTAAAGACACTTAACACAACCTTCTAGATCAGGTGTAAATGTTTCCAGGCTAGGTCAGGTGTGGTGGATCATACTTGTAATCCCAAAACTTTGGAAGGCTGAGAGGAGGATCATTTGAGGTGAGGAGTTGGACATCAGCCTGTTTGACAAAATAAGATTCTCATCTTTACTTTTAAAGAAAGAAAAACTTCCAGACTTAAAATATATATATTGAGTCTTGCTCTATTGCCAAGGCTGGAGTGCAGTGGTATGATCTCAGCTCACTGCAACTTCTGCCTCCAGGGTTCAAGCACATCTCCTGCCTCAGCCTCCCAAGTAGCTGGGACTATAGGCATGTACCACCATGCCTGGCTGATTTATGTATTTTTAGTAGAGGCTGGGTTTTACCATGCTGACCAGGCTGGTCTCAAACTCTTGACCTCA